GTCTGTAGGTCTGTACTGAAGAGGTCTTTGTGCTGCAGGGATCTGGAGCAGAGACATCCGCTTTAAGAGCAACCTTCCTCTGACGGAGATCAACAAGATCCTGAAAAACCTGGAGAGCAAGAAACTCATCAAAGCCGTCAAATCTGTGGCGGTGAGTCTCCATCGTCTCGATCAGCTGCTGTGGAGGTACGAGCTCTCCTCCCTGACAGATCTCCATGTTTGTGTGCAGGCGTCCAAGAAGAAGGTGTACATGTTGTACAACCTGCAGCCGGACCGCTCGGTGACAGGGGGCGCCTGGTACAGCGACCAGGACTTTGAGTCCGAGTTTGTGGAAGTTCTGAATCAGCAGTGCTTCAAGTTCCTGCAGAGCAAGGTACAGAAACCTTTAAAGACCGGAGGAAGGATTCAGGGACAGGATACACGGTTTGATCTTAAGTTCCACAAATACTTTAATATCTTCCAGACCAGCAGGTGGCAGCACAGTGAACATTATTTATCTTTATTGTGTGGAGGAAATAATAGTGTCAGAATATACTTATTAAATATTATTGTTATTGGGGCCTGAGGGGGGCTGTTGGGGACTGATGGGGGCTGTTGGGGGGCTGTTGGAGGCTGATGGGGGGCTGTTTGCGGCTGATGGGGGGCTGATGGGGACTGATGGGGGCTGTTTGCGGCTGATGGGGACTGATGGGGGCTGATGGGGGCTGTTGATGAATCTGTCGTGTGTTCAGGCTGAAGCAGCGAGGGACAGCAAACAGAGTCCCATGGTTCAGAGGAACAGCTCCTTCGCCACCTCACATGAAGTCTGGAAATATATCTGTGAGCTGGGAATCAGCAAGGTGAGGGACCCTCACAACCCCGCCCCCTTTTATGACATCACACACCAGGTGTTCAGTAAACTACAGTCAGTAGGTCTGAATGTGTGACTGCAGGTGGATCTGTCCATGGACGACATCGAGACCATCCTCAACACGCTAATCTACGACGGGAAGGTGGAGATGACCGTCATCGCCGCCAAGGAGGGAACGGTGGGCAGCGTGGACGGACAGATGAAGCTTTACCGCGGCGTCAACCCCGTCATCCAGCCCACCGGCGTGGTCAGGACGCCCTGCGGACTCTGCCCGGTAACACATGACCTACCTGTATGAGACCGTAGAGAGGTCTTCTCCTGCGGTTGGGCCCTGACTTCCTGTCTGTCTCCTCAGGTGTTCGAAGACTGTCACGAAGGAGGAGAAATCTCTCCGTCCAACTGCATCTACATGACGGAGTGGTTGGACTTCTGACGGCGGCTGTCGTCTCTCTGCTCTTTTCTCTGTGAGGAAACCTTCAGTTACGTTCTGTGATCCACGCTGCTTATTTTCTATTTCTGGTAAAGTTCAATAAAAGTGGAAATGTGAAGTGTGTCTGTGTTTGATTGATCCTCCCTGTGGCTGAACAGTGCACCAAAATCAGCTCTGTGTGTCCACAATAGGAGACAGGCAGGAAGACAGTTGAGGACAAGTTAAGCTAACCTGCATATATATGTTGGACAATTAGCGTAATTATCTTTAATAACCAGCTCTATGGATAATATCTCAACAGCTGATTGGCTGATTTGGACAATAAAGGAGGTTTTGGGGTTATTGAGGACGCTGAATCCATTTGACATTTTCAAAATACAAAATGTTTAAACAAAAAGTGTAATAGAGTCAGGGTCTGTCCAAGGTTTCTGCCTCTTAAAAGGAAGTTTTTCCTTGGCGCCTCGCCAAGTGCTTGCTCATGGTGGGAACTGTTGGGTCTCTGTAAATAATGTTTGGAGTACGGTCTACACCTGCTCTTTTCAATTCAGTTTTGTTTGTATAGCACCAATTCATAACAAAAAATATCTCAGGAGACTTTTCAAATAGAGTTTTTCTGCATCTGTCTTATAGGATGTGTCTAATCTTTGTAATATTACGTAAATGAAAGAAGGCAGTCCTAGAGGTTTGCTTTATGTGGGAATTAAATGACAAATCCTGATAAAAGATAACTCCAAGATTCCTGACAGTGGTGCTAGAGGCCAAGTTAACGCCATCTAGAGTAATTATATCTTTAGACACTGAGTCTAAAATCACTAACATCAGAAAATTTCAGCTCATCCAGGTTCTTATGTCCTTAAGACATGTTTGTAATTTAGATAATTGATTAATTTCATTGGGTTTGATTGATAGATATAACTGCGTATCATCTGCATAACAGTGAAAGTTAATGGAGTGATTCCTAATAATGTTGCCTAAAGGGAGCATATATAAAGTAAATAGTATTGGTCCAAGTACAGAACCTTGTGGAACTCCATGACTAACTGTAGTATTTATTGAAGATTCATCGTTAACATGTACAAACTGCGAACAATCTGATAAATATGACTTAAACCAGCTTAGTGCGGTTCCTTTAATGCCAATTTGATGCTCAAGTCTCTGTAAAAGAATATCATGGTCAATGGTGTCAAATGCAGCACTAAGATCTAATAATACAAGTACAGAGACAAGTGTGAAGCAATTAAAAGGTCATTATTAACTTTAACCAGAGCTGTCTCTGTGCTGTGATGGAATAACTTTTGTGATAAACTGATGTTATATAAAACTGAACAGCATCAGTCAGTGTGTAAATTCTGGAGAACCATACTGAACATTTCTGGTTCACAGAGGAGAAATATTGTCAGTAAACAGACTCCTGGGAAATGTTTCTTTTTTGAAGTATAATTTGTACAACAATATGGCAGCGAGCACACAAACAGAAAATAATATAACATACAACAACATTTCTGTATTTTACTGTTCCTGAATCACCTATGGAAACAGCCTCAAGAGACATACATCAGTAAAACACTGTGCACATTTTAATACTTAATAATACTACTTTCATATACTTTAATAACTGGAATGCAGCTGTGAAGTGCATTTAGCAGTTAATCAGGAGTTAATCTCATTTTTAAATTCTTAATAAATGAGAAAGTGCATTTAACAGGAGGAAGAAATTCTGCATATTTATTTGCAACCCAGATAAAAAAGGCATTCAAAATGTTCAGCAGCTGCCCTGAGAATAATGCTAATAATAATGCTGATGCTAATGCTAATAATAATAATAATATACACCAAGCTGATTTTACACTAATAAAAACATATAAATGAATAGTACATTAATTCAATTTTATTTGTATATCGCCAATTCATTACATAATGTTATACTATATTATGTTATATTATAATAAATTATATTATATTGATGTTAAGCACTGGGGCTTTATTTGGGTAACATTAGTGATCCTGGCCTGTCACAATTGTAATTTCATAATAATTTACACTAAATGACACTAATTATTTAAATTATTTATTTCAAGCAGAAATTCAGGCTGCGCCCAAAACTGCTTCCATGGGTCCGGGTTTGGGTCGGGTGGGGATTGATCAAACCTTTGGTTCCCAATCTAATAATGTACTGCTAGATAACTGATGTAAATATACTGTTAGTGATGCTGTACAGCAGTGGTGGTGGGGGGGGGCTGTTAATGGATGAGTGCTGTTTGTGATGTTATACAGTACTAATGTATTATTGATGCAGTTCCTCTGCTGTCCACCAGAGGCTGGCTCCAGCAGTGAGTCACCTGACCCTCAGTGTCTGAGACTCGCAGTCGATATGAAAACACTCTGAAGCACTCTGACTGTTTATCCAATCACAGCTCTCGTTAAGCCTCCATCAGACATCCTTGAAGAATCCATCAGGCGCTAATGGGCTCACTGCAGACCGGCAGCCCCGCCCGCTTCATCGACCAATCAGAGAGCAGGGAGCATCGCACTTTTGGCTGGAACGGGCAGCAATGTTCCATGTTTCTATCTCAGTTTGGTCAGTGGAATAAATACTACACTACCCATGAGCCTCAGCAGCTGTTGCCATGGAGACAGTCAGTAAAGTGCAGTTGTGAGGAGGGGTAACGACAGCAGCTCCATTAAGACCCTTAATTATTAATCAGCTGGAAGACGCACACGAACGAGTCCCCATCGAGTCAGTGAGTCAGAGCGAGTCAGAGCGAGTCAGAGGGAGTCAGTGAGTCAGAGCGAGTCAGTGAGTCAGAGGGAGTCAGTGAGTCAGAGTTAGTCAGGTCAAGTCAGAGTGAGTCAGTGAGTCAGAGCGAGTCAGAGGGAGTCAGTGAGTCAGAGGGAGTCAGTGAGTCAGAGGGAGTCAGTGAGTCAAAGCGAGTCAGTGAGTCAGAGGGAGTCAGTGAGTCAGAGTTAGTCAGGTCAAGTCAGAGTGAGTCAGTGAGTCAGAGCGAGTCAGAGGGAGTCAGTGAGTCAGAGGGAGTCAGTGAGTCAGAGGGAGTCAGTGAGTCAAAGCGAGTCAGAGCAAGTCAGTGAGTCAGAGTGAGTCAGTGAGTCAAAGTGAGTCAGAGTGAGTCAGAGCAAGTCAGTGAGTCAGACTGACTCTACAGGCTGCTGAGATGTTTTCGTGTTTTAAAGTTTTTCACGTTCATGAAAATAAAATCAGTTTTATAATCTGTAGAAAAACATTAAAAACAAATCTCATAAACACGTTATCTGATCTTATACACAAACACTGACTGGTGGTGACCTATGCAGCCTGCAGGGGGCGCTGCAGGGGCTTTAGACTGCTGCCTGATGTTTTCACAAAGTTGGAGTCTAGAGTTCAGAATTGTCCTTGAACGTAGCACAAACTCAGAAATAAAAGATGAAAACTAGAATTTGATTTCGACCCGGACCGAGGAGAGTCTGAGGGGGAGGAGGCTCAGAGAGGAGGAGGAGGGGGAGGAGGAGGAGGAGGAGGAAGGGGGGGGCAGTGCGGATTCTTTCCCGTCATTCCCTGCAGCAGCAGCAGCAGCTCCCTCCCTCCTGTCTGTCGCTCTGTCTGTCGCTCTGTCCTCTCCGTATCGGATGCCTGTTTGCGGACTCTTCTTCATCAGCTGAAGTTTGGAGACTCGGTTTGATCTTCTGAGCAGGTGAGCAGCTCCGTCCTCTGTCTCTGTGTCCACT